CTCTGCTTCTGGAAGTATAAGCACAAACACTGTCAAAAATTATCATTCCCAGGGCTGATGCTAGGGCTCAGTGGCAAAGTGCTTGCCTAGCATGTGTGAGGCACTGGGTTTGATCCTTAGCACTGCAGACAAAAAATAAATAAAATAAAGGCATGCTGTCCATCTACAATTCCAAAAAAATTTAAAAAAAAATATATCATTCCATGCCAGGTGAGGTTGCAAAGCCTGTAATCCAGCGACTCAGGAGGCTGAGGCAGTAGGATCGCAAATTCAAAGCCAGACTCAGCAAATGTGGGATGCTAAGCAACTCAGTGAAACTCTGTCTCTAAATAAAATACTAAATAGGGCTGGGGATGTGATTCAGTGGCCTGGTGCCCCAAGTTCAATCACAGGTACCAAAAAAAATTTACCATTACTCACCATCAAACCAAACTTAATTGCATTCTCCAAAATGGAAGAAAGATGTGTGCTTTGACAATGGCAAGCCAGTATACAGACTAATTTTGCAGGTACAAGAGAGGCTGGACAACACACTAAAAATGCCTGAAGATATAAAAGAATTAAAGGCAGTAAGGACCTGAAGGGTCAAGAACTCAAATGGAAGAAAAACCAAAGAAGTAAGTCAGACCTCAACACGATTTTTCCTCTCTAGGATTTTTCTCCAGAAGCACTGTTAACAGATTACCTCTCAACTAATGTCTAAAGAGTTCAATCCCTGATTAAGTCAATGCTCTCTGCTCTTAATCCTTATAGGAACAAAAATAAATCCTCTCTGAAAGAAAATCAGAACCTCAAATTATGCCCATAGTTTCTCAAAAATAATATCTAATAATTCAATCAAAAATACTAAGTATGAAAAAAATTACAATTGGCAAGTAATCAAAAGGACACAAAAAGAAAAACTAACAAAGATCCTATAGGAGATCCACACCTTCATTATCTGACAGCTGGGCATAGAGGGGGACATCTGTAATCCCATATGTAAAAGAATTTTAACTATGTAACAACTTTAAAGTATTAGTAAAGATTCTTGCTAAATATTTGGTTGGAACGTCATAGCACTTTATTAAAAAAATAGTAAATTTTTATTTTAGTATCTAAGATTTCTTTGGTTTACCTAAGAAATATAAATAGGATGAATTTTCATAACTGCAATTTTTCTCTTGGAAGGCATACTCGTAGCTATTAAAAACCTTTAGAAACTTTCAGATACAAACCTATCTGAAGAAATATGGCTACCATGCCATTTTTCCTAAATCTCAAAAAGTTTATAAGAAGGTTAAGAATATAAGATTTTTGGGCTGGGGATGTGGCTCAAGCGGTAGCGCGCTCGCCTGGCATGCGTGCGGCCCGGGTTCAATCCTCAGCACCACATACAAAGATGTTGTGTCCGCCGAGAATTAAAAAATAGATATTAAAAAAAAAAAAAAATTCTCTCTCTCTCTCTCTCTCCCACTCTTTCTTTAAAAAAAAAAAAAGATTTTTATAATGAGAACAACTAAGAACAGAGCAGGGAGGAAGAGCAGGAGGAAAAGATCAACTTTAAACAGAGACATGAGGTGGGAGGGAAAGGGAGAGAAAAGGGAAATTGCATGGAAATGGAAGGAGACCCTCATTGATATACAAAATTACATAAGAGAATTTGAGGGGGAAGGGAAAAAAAAAAAACAAGAGAAAGAATTAAATTACAACAGATGGGGTAGAGAGCGAAGATGGGAGGGGAGGGGAGGGGAGGGGGGATAGTAGAGGATGGGAAAGGTAGCAGAATACAACAGTTACTAATATGGCATTATGTAAAAATGTGGATGTGTAATTGATGTGATTCTGCAATCTGTATTTGGGGTAAAAATGGGAGTTCATAACCCACTTGAATCGAATGTATGAAAAATGATATGTCAAGAGTTTTGTAATGTTTTGAATAACCAATAAAAAAAAAAGAAAAACTGATTAATTAAATTCATTAAGCTTTAAAAAAAAAAAAGAATATAAGATTTTAAACATTACCAATTTTAACCGTTCTTTTCTCCTCTTGCCAAAGGAAGCACTTGACCCAGGTTCTGATTCCTTTTTTCCATCCTCATCTTCATCTTCATCTTCATCATCCTCAAAACACCAATCTGGCAATAAAGGTGGTGGTGGTGCTTCCTCTATATCTCCATAGCGACGAAAAAGTTCCTTCAAATAATCACCCTTATAAATTCCTGGTGGTCTGGCTTGGGCAAAAGTAGCAACTGCTGCTTCAATACTATGGAAAACAAACGCCATGCAATGTCCTCACTATTCTCCATTTGTTCAGACTTATCAAAACTTACTTATATTCAAGACATCACAAAGGATAATAGAGGTTTATAAAATGGATAAACTATAGTCTTTACCCTCTAAGCATTCAAGCATTAAGGGATAAATTCATTGTGAAATAGTTTTAATATAAGGCATACTGACAATTCCTCAATTCTAAAAGTGCATTTCTATAAGCACATATTAAAGATGTGAGTAAGAGGTCTGGAGTTGTAGCTCAGAGGTAGAGCACTCGCCTAACATATGCGAGGCCCTGGTTCGATCCTCAGCACCACATAAAAATAAATAAAGGTATTGCATCCAACTACAACTAAAAAATAAATAATAAAAAAAAAAGATGTGGGTAAAGTCACTGAAGAATTTCAATAAATTTTTAAAGGTTAAAGTCTTACTCTAACAGCAGTCAACAATTGTATAATAATGTGAACAAAAATAAAACATGTTGTTTTTCAGGAATTTCTGAAAGACCCAGGCACTGAGAATGCAGGTCATGAGAGAAAGGTACGCATGGGCTAAGTATGGCCTAAAAGTCTGGGGTTACTGTATATAGTTTCTCAATGGCCAGAAAGCACAAGAGGATGTATAAAATGGAATAAGCACAATGAGATGTGTACTTTGGCTGATTATATTCAAAAAAGGACCTACTATGTAAAAGGCTTTGTAAACATAAATAATGACAATCAGTCAATGAGAAAACTCAATTAGTAATATCTTATTCTCTTTGAAATTTTAGGTAACTAATGTTCTAATCTCTCTAAAATATGTTTCTCTAAAAAATATATGACACAAACAAATGATGCTCCTCAATAAGGATGTACTGAGTGGTTTAAATGAAATCCTATTCCAAAAAGATTTCCTTCACATAATATTATAACTTGTTCCTAGTACTTAACAGCTATACAAAAGACACTATTTAGAAGGGACATAACAACAGCAATTTCCAAAGCTGAATATGAACACAAAATATTGAAAAAAAATTTGTCTCTGATAATTCTATGAGAAAAAAAACATGGAGCTGTAAATACATAATTTATGGGATTTGTAATCACTCAACTAATGTGCCACTTAATACAAAACAAGCAGGTTAATCTAAAGATTAACCATATTCAAAATGAAAAACATTTCAAATTATATTAATCATGAGCTCAAAAAACTTGGCAATATAATATGCTACAACTAAAATATCAATAAAGATTCTTATCAATTATAACAAGATATAAATACCTCCAATCCATCTTCTCCACCAAAAAGGCACATATGAGGAAACCAGTGCGATTGAAACCATGGGTACAATGAACACCTACAAAATAAATTAACTTGGTTAAAATTTAATAAATCACAGCAGAGGCTATATTTTGCTTTAAAATTCCAAACTGCCATCAAAACAATTCAGTTATTTTATAAAATTACACTGTACATTTAAAAAGCTTGAAACACATTCTCTTATAATTTAGTAACTTTTCAGTTCAAGTTGCTTAGAATCTAATTTACAGCATAGGCTAGAAGTTTAAATGTAATATATTGGTTTACTGGTTTAAAATTGTCTCTAGGGTATAAGTATAAAGTATCTTATATAAGGAGTTATTTTCAAATTCAAAAGGACTCACACAAACACACATAAGAAACCTCTATCCCACATATTCTGGAAAAAAATTTCCAGCCCTTATAATCAATGATAAGCATATGAAAGATAGAAATAATGTATTTTTTTTAAATCCAGAAACTAGAGCAAAACCAAGAAACTAATGGAAATATAAACTCATCTGAAGGTTGATACTAGTAATCATTCAAAGTGACACAGAAAATAATTAACTGATGAAGATATAGTATAATAAAAATAAAACTAGCCTGAAGTTCTCTAGAAGCCAAAGTAAATTTTTAGAAGAAAGAAAATTTTTCTTTCTAAAAATTTACTTTGAAAGTAAATTTTTAGAAGAAAGAAACCTAGGGTGAAAAGGAAACTTGATTTTCTGAAATCATATTTTAGGACATATTCAAAATTATTTTAACTACTTATATAATAGTTTGGTGGATATTACTAACATGAAAAAATTGCTGCCAGGTTAAATGACCCTTGAAGATCTCAAAATAAAGTTTTTCCTGTAATATCTGGCTTTTTTGTTTGGTTGGTTGGTTAATTGTTTAAGATATTTCTTTTTTTTTTTTTAATGGTCTTCAAAAAAAGGTAAACTTTCTCCTTTGATCTTTGTTAACCTTAGTTTTCTATTAGGCAGAAATTTAAATTTTAGTGAGAAAAGTTAAATAGTTTACTATTGCTTTTCATCTTTTCTCATTTTAATAAAAGAATGAATTTGGTTTCACAGATACAAATTATATACACTGTATATTAATAGTATTTCTATGGAAATAAATAACAAATGGAATCCATAAATAAAGTGAACACTCCCTTAAGAGTAAATTTTACCTCCCACCCAAATTTGTACTCTTCTCCATTAAATTTACTCCTCCTTTGTACATGTATAAAAATTTTTTTCTCTGCATACACAGTTCATCTTAGAATGCAATCAAGCTCAAATATAGAAATAAACTAGCTAAAATTACTAAACTTCCAGAAGAAAAATCTTCACCATCTTAGAAAAGATTTCTTCAACAAAACATTTTTTAAAGTGTGAAATAATATGAAGTAATGATAAATTAGTTTATTTCAAAACAATAAATTTTGCTCCTTGAAAGATACCATAGGGCTTGCTTCAACAGCACAAACACTAAAATTGAAATGATACAAAGAAGATTAGCATGAATCCTGAGCAAGGATGACATGCAAATTCATGAAGCATTCTGTATTTTTCTAGCCTATAACAGCTCTAAGTGCAAAAGAAACTATTCAGAGATACTCAAAAAAAAAAGGAAAGAAAGGAGGAAACAAGGGAGCAACCGAGGGAAGGAAGGAGAGAAAGAAGGGGGAAGGCGGGAGGGCGGGAGGGAAAAGAAAAGATGCCATTAAGAAAATAAAAACAACAGCCCAGGGGCTGAGGTTGTGGCTCAGTGGTAGAGTGCCTGTTTGGCAAATGTGAGGTACTGGGTTCGATTCTCAGCACTGCATAAAAATAAAATAAAGGTCCACTGACAACTAAAAAATACTTGAAAAGAAATCAGCCCCAGAAATATTTTCAATACATATAACTGGAAAAGAATACATAAAGAACATTTACAAGGCTGGGGGTGAAGCTCAGTGGTAGAGCAATTGCTTAGCATGCATTGCCCAGCATGCATAAGGCCCTGGATTCAATCCCCAATAACATAAAAGGAAAAGGAAAAAAAAAAAAAGAATAAGAACTCTTACAGTTCTCTATTGCTTGTTAATTAAGACAACATAATTTTTTTAAATCTAGGCAAAAGATTTGAATATTCACTTTTTATAGGAAAAAAAAAACATGCAAGACAAAAATATACATGATTAACTACCAGAAAAATGCAAATTAAAGGTATAATGAGACCTTACCATACACTCATTAGAACTGCTAAAATTAAAAAGACTGACCACATAAAATGTCTGTGAAGATGCAGAGAAACTGAAACCCTCATACACTGTTAATGAAAATGTAAAATGGCAAAATCACTTTGGAAAACAATTCGGCAATTAAACAGTTAAACACACACCTATAACAAGTGACCTGAACATTCTAATCCTATTTAATGAAGAAAAATAAAATGTCCATGTAAAGATTTGTACATAAAGTGCACAGTAACACAAAGGCAAATGTTCAGAGTAATCTTATTGACAATGGCCAAAAACTGCCAACATCTCAAATGCCCCTTTATCAGCAAAACATATATTCATACAATGAATACTTAGGTAGATACAAAAAAGAAAACTATTAATAAATACAACAAAGATGATTTCAAAACCACTATGCTAAGTGAAAGAAGCCAGATAACAAGTACATATATAATTTCATTTCCAAAAAAATTCTAGAAAATGTGAACTAGCCTATAATGACAGAAAACAGAAAATGACTGCCTAATCTAAACCAAGAGAGAAGAGAGAATGGACACAAAGAAGAATGAAATGCAAACACTATGAATCATGACTGTGGTTTCATCAGCATCTTGTATCCATCAACTCATCAAATTGGACATTTTTTAAAAATGCAATTTAATATATATAAATGGTATCTCAATATGTCGTCATTTTTTTTTAACTTGATGGCTGGTTCTAGTCTGCAACTGGCATTAATAACATAATCCAAATGTTAGTATTTATCAATATGCCCTTGTTCTCAGTAACTGACCTTACCAAAAATAAATATAATAAACTTGGCCAGGCACAGTGATTCATGCCTATAATCCCAGGTATTTGGAAGGTTGATGTAAGAAGATCACAAATTTAAGACTAGCCTCAGCAACTTAATAAGACACTGTCTTAAAAAATAGAAAGGGCTGAGAATGTAGCTCAGTAGCAAAGCAACCCTGGGTTAAATCCCCAGTATGGACAAAAGAAAACAAAAAGTTATACATTTGATATATTTAAAAATGCGCTGGTGTTGTGGCACTGAGTTCGATTCTCAGCACCCCATATAAATAAATAAAATAGATCCATTGACAACTAAAAAATATATTTAAGAAAAAAAAAAAAAGAGCAATAAACCAGGCTTAGTGTGGCACGCACCTATAATCCCAGCAGCTTCCAAGACTGAAGCAGTAGGATCGAAAAGTTCAAAGCCAGCCTTAGCAAAAGTGATGCACTAAGCAACTCAGTGATGTCTCTGTCTCTAAATAAAATATAAAGTAGGGCTGGGGATGTGGCTCAATGGTCAAGTGCTCCTGAGTTCAATCCCCAGTACTTTCAAAAAAAAAAAAGAACAACACAATGTCACTCTCATCTCATTTCTATATTAAGGAAAGATTTCAAAAAAATAAAAAAAGGAAAGATTTCTTTCAAAAAGATTTTTGTTACTTAAAAGCAAATTTGAAAACCACTATCAACAAAGAGCCAAATGATTAATTCCTATATCCATAAAAAATAGAAAATGATAATGATCATGAGTAATTTGAATAAAAATCGTTTTACTAAAAAACCCTCAATATACAAGGATATAAAGGAGTTGCAGACAGTAGGAACTATCTTCACAAAGGTAAATGTATGAATCAAAAATCACATATGGATTAAAATTTTAAAAAATTTTAAAAGCACATATGGCAAACTATAAATAAATCAGAATGGCTAGAGCATGGGGTATATATAATAAGACAGTAATACCTAATGCAACTGGAGAGACTGAGAGGGTCCAAATCTTGAAGAAACCTGAGCACCATACTATAGAGATCATTATAAATAATGGAAGAATACTGAGGAATTTTAAGCATGGAAATAAAAATTATCAGGCTTTACAAAAAGCCAGAATGGAGAGAACAACAATAAAGGCAAAGAAACCATTCCAGTAGTTAATGTGTGAAATGATAAGGATCTGACTGACAAGCCTTATGAAATGGGAGCATAAGGAGAGACAGACTGAAGAGACATTTAAGGTTAAGACTCTGGAAGCTGAAGGGCAAATAACTGTCAAGATTGAGAGAAAAGATACATTACTAGTCTTTGGTTTTTGACTTAAGTGACTGGTTGAACATCGGTACCATTTAATAGGTTAGGAAATACAAGAATTTTATCAGTCTTACCAGTAAGACAATGAGTTCAACTTTCAAATATGATGAATTTAAGATTCTTATGGGCTTACAAGTAGTTGATAAAAACCTTCCAAGAAAGTTCTGGATGGAACTGTAGATTCAAGAATAATCATTAACAACTATAGAAGAGATGTGTGATATGGATAAGACCACTGAAAATGGATATGTAAAATTGCAAAATCAAGGATGGAATCTAAGGAAAACCAACCTTTCAAGAACAGGAAAAAGATAATCCATAAAAAAGAAACTGAGAATGAATGGTCATGACCTTAACAAAACAAAGAGAACAGGGTCATACAAACAGAGAAAAGAGGAAGTTTCAAGATATGGGTATTCACCTGTTTAAATGTCATATAATGATTAGAACTGAAAGTAGATTTAATTAAGAGTGCTGAAGGACAAATCCAGACTGCAATGAAGTAAACAGATATAAATGGATCCAAGTACAGATTCTTTCAGAGTCGGCAGAGACTAAACTGTGGCTCAGTAGTAGATACACTCCACTGTGGTGGGGAGCGGGGTGGGAGAGGCAGCACATATGACACCCTGCTGAGGGATGGGGAACTGCAAACAGAAAGAAAGGCCTGGGTGGGAGCTACCGAACAAGATATTTAGATGTGTTTACAGACTAAGGAAAGGACCTAGTTAAGTAACAAATGTTAACAATAAAATTGAATTATTCAACTCAAGTTTCTGAAGGGAAAAGATGAAAAATGGAAACCATCTTTGAACAGAAAGATCCTTTAAAAATAAGTATCTATCATCATAAAATTCTATTAAATTCCATTATCTCTGTTGCCTTAATTTTTTTTAATTTGTTTTAATTAGTTACACATGACAGTATAATGACCTTGACATATCATACATTTGAATCAGATGGGATATCATATCTCATTTTTCTGAGTATACAGGTTGCAGAATCACATTGGTCATGAATTCACATATATACTGCTCACATATACATTTTTTAAAAATGTCCTCAAAAAATCACAGAGCCAAGTATGATGGCACATGCCTATAAACCCAGCTGAAGCAGGAAGACCATAAATTCCAGGCCAACATTAGCAAATTAGCAAGGCCCTAAACAACTTAGAGAGACCCTGCTATCTCAAAATAAAAAATAAAAGGGGCTGGCGATGTGGCTCAGTGGTTATACACCCCTGGGTTAAATCCCTTGTATCCAAAAATTAAAAAGTCACACAAAGATGTTACTATAAACAGATTTTTTAATTCAACATGTATCTTAACCCAACATGTTAATATACCTCATATTTTCAAGCCAACTTAAGCCACAAGTATTGCAACATTAGATGCGTTTCAAAAAAATGACTACTGCTTTTGTATCCAGTTTTCACTCTAGCAAGTTTAACTAAATATTTTGAGTAGAAAATGTAAGAAAAAGTAATTCTTAATAATGTAAGAATTAAGATGGGGTAGAGAGAGAAGAGGGGAGGGGAGGGGAGGGGGGATAGTAGAAGATAGGAAAGGCAGCAGAATACAACAGACACTAGTATGGCAACATGTAAATCAGTGGATGTGTAACCAATGTGATTCTGCAATCTGTATACGGGGTAAAAATGGGAGTTCATAACCCACTTGAATCAAAATGTGAAATATGATATATCAAGAACTATGTAATGTTTTGAACAACCAACAATAAAAAAATGTAAGAATTACTAAGTAATAAATCGTGTGAAAGTGTACAATTTTTTAAAATACCATACATTTCTCATTTAATAACTCTTTACTACGCAAATACAGTTTTAGTTCTAATGTTCAGTTCTCTATCAAAATATAGAGGACTAGAGTTTTAAAAGTAAGAAGTATGAAATTATAAAACCAACAAATCTCTATAGAAAAAAATGTGTGCACATAATATAAAAAAAATTCCATGAACTAAGTATACTACAAACTTAAATACATTTTTTAAAAAATATTTTTTAGTTGTAGATGGACATAATACCTTTTATTTTTATATGGTGCTGAGGATCAAACCCAGGGCCCTCCACATGCGAGGTGAGCACTCTACCACTGAACTACAACCTCAGCCCTTAAATAGATCTTTCATGTTAAAAAAAATTTTCAGTTTTCATTTCATTATGAGAATGGGTCCATCTAGTGGCAAATAAGACATAGTTTAAAACTAAAGACTAGCTCACTATT